AAAGAGGTAGCCAGATGGAGGCCATTAGCACACCCAGCAGGAAGACCCCAGATGCAACCAGACCTGCACATACCCTGACAATACATCTCCAGGTCCTGGTTGGTGCCCCCAGGCTAAGGCAGCCACATCCAGAGATGGCAACAGTGGCAACAACAAACCTTCAGGCCTCTTAGCCCTGGATTCCCAGGCCCTGGCCAGTGTTCCATGATGGCAGCAGCTGCATGTGACCAAACCTGTGTGTACCCTGAAAATGGATTTCCAGGCAGCAACAGGCAGCAGGCACTCCTCCGGCAGTCTGTGGGCAGTTGGCAGTGTCAGCAAGACATCTGCATGCAAAAGGCGGGTGATATACTGGCAAAGGGCTAGTGATCACAGTGGACAAACAGAGGTCAAAGAGCAGGGGATCAGTGGGCAGTGAGAGCTCTTGCAGAGAACCAGTATTTCCTCTGCCTGAATCCCATGTCACAGAGCAACAAGGAATGCATCCTCCCTCTAGTATGCTATCTTAGATCTCCTTGTTTGGTTTTTGATAATAACCATGGTAACTATGGTGAAATGGGATCTCACTACAATTTTGATTTGCATTGCTCTGATGTCTAAAGTTATTGAGCATTGTTTTCATATATTTATTGACCATTTGTATATCTTTTTTAAAATACCTTTATTTCACTTATTTATTTTTATGTGGTGCTGAGGATCAAACCCAAGGTCTCACACATGTGAGGTGAGCACTCTACCGCTGAACCACAACACCAGCCCATTTGTATATCTTTTGAGACGTGTATATTCAGGTCATTTTTGTTTGTATTACTTTTTGTTCATTTGAGTTTTTCATGTATTCTGGATTTTAATACTCCATCAGATGCTGACAAAGATTTTTTCCCATTTTGGAGATTGTGTCTTAACTCTGTTGAATGTTTCATTTGCTATCAGAAGCTTTTTACTTGATGTAATCCCATGTGTTAATTCTTGTTTTTATTTTCTAAGCTCCTAGAGTTCCATCCAGGAAACCATTGCTTGTGCCAATGGCTTGAAATGTTTCTCCTGTTTTCTTCTAGTAGTTTCAGAGTTATAGTTGTAACATTAAGCTCTTTGATCTATTTTCAGTTGATTTTTTACAGGGTGAGAGATGAGGGTTAGTTCTAATCTTCTATATGTGAATATCCAGTCTTCCCAGCACCATTTGTTGAAGAGATGGTCCTTTCACAATGTGCGTTTTTGATAGCTTTGCCAAGAATTGGTTGACTGAAGATGTGTAGATTCATTTTTGTGTCCTCATTTTTGTCCTAGTCTGTTTACATATCTACTTTTATGGCAATATGCTGTTTTGTTATTATGGCTCTGTAGTATGTTTTAAAATTAGGTATTGTGATACCTCCAAATTGTTCTTTTTGATCAAGATCACTTTAGCTGTTCAGGGTTTTTGTGCTTCCATATAAATTTTACGATTTTTTTCTCTTGTTTTGAGAAAGAATATCATTGGTATTTTGATGAGAATTACATTGAATCTGTAGATTGCTTGGGTAGTGTGGCAATTTAAACAATTATTCCTTTCAATCCATGAACATGGTAAGTCTTTCCACCTTCTACTGTTTTTCTCAGGTTTTTTTTTTTTCTTTTAGTGTTTGGTAATTTTCATTGTAGATAACTTCCATCTTTTAGTTTTATTCCTAGGTATTTTGTGTATATTTTTGTGGCTATCATGAATTTCTTGATTTCTTTCTCAGCAACTTTATCATTGGTATTCAGAAGAGCTACTGATTTTAGTATATTGCTTTTGTATCCTGCTACTTTACTGAATTTGTCAATTCTAAAGGTCTTTTGGTAGAGTCTTTAGAACTTTCTCTGTATAGAATCATATCATCAACAAGCAGAGATAATTTGACATCCTCCTTTCCTATTAGTATCGCTTTTATTTTATTTCTCTTTCCTATGTGTGCTCTGATTGAAATTTTGAGCATTATATTGAATAAGAGTAGTGAGAGTGGACACTTGATCCTGATCTTGGAGGAAATACTGTCAGTTTTGTCCATTCAGTATGATGTTGGCTATGGTTTTGTCATAAAGAGTCTTTATTTTGTTAAGGTATGATTCTTCTATCCCCTGTTTATTCAGGACTTTCATCACAAAGGGATATTGAATTTGGTCAAAGACTTTTTCTGAAATTATCATGTATTTTTACCCTTGATTCTATTTTTGTGCTGTATTACATTTATTGATTTGTATATGTTGAACTATCCTTGCATCTCTGGAATGAAATCAACTTGATCATGGTGTATGACATTTTGAAATGTGCTGTAAAATTTGGCTTGCAAGTATTTTATTTAGACTTTTTGCATGTATATCCATCAGGGATATTGGTGTATAATTTTATTTATTTGATGTGTCCTTAGGTTTTGGTAGTAGGATAATATTGACTTCATTGAATGAGTGTAGAAGAGCCCACTCACTTTATAGTTTATGAAATCTCTTGAGGAGCATTGGGATTAGTTCTTCTTTAAAAGTCTGATGAAATTCAGCAGTGAATCCATGTGGGACTGGGCTTTTCTTTGTTGGGAGCCTTCTTATTACTGCTTCAATCTCAGTACTGTATATTGATTTATTTAGGTTTCTTATGTCCCCTTGGTTTGATTTTGGTAAATCTTATGTGTCTAGAAATTTGTCAATTTATTCTAGATTTACCAATTTGTTGGCAAGTAGTTTTTCAAAATATTCCCTAATGATCCTTTTTAATTTCAGTGGTGCCTACTTTAATGTCTCCTTATTAATGTCTAACTTAATTTGGGCCTTCTCTTTTAATTAGTTTAGCTTAGGGTTTGTCAATTTTACTTATCTTTTCAAGAACCAACTTTGTTTATTCAATTCTTTGTATTGTTTTTATCTTTATTGCATTGATTTATGCTCTAATCTTATTATTTCTTTCCTTCTACTGGTTTGGGGCCTTGTTTGTTCTTGTTTCTCTAAGACCTTTAGATGCATCATTAGGTAATTTATCTGAGATCTCTTTATTATTTTAATGACAACACTCCTTGCTATAAACTTCCCTTTCAGTGCTGCTTTTGTTATATTCCACAAGTTTCAGTATATGCGGTTGCATATACTGAATTTCCCTCTGATTTCTTCAGTGACCCAGTTCACCTAATAGTATGTTGGTCAATCTCCATGTTTTTGTCTAATTTCTGCAATTTCTCTTGCTGTTGATTTCTGGTTTCATTCCATTATGATAGATAAGGTGAAGAAATTATTTCTTTTTTAAAATTTGGTAATACTTACTTTGTAGCTTTCATATTTCTTGTGTTTCTGTGTTGAGATTTGCACATCTATTGAAATGGAAACTTCTTTCACTTTTATATGAGGCCTTCTGATGATACATATTGGAGTATCTGTTTTGTAATGTTGAATTTAATTCCATTAGACCTCATAGTTTAATCTCCCTGCAGCTTCTTTGCTGTGATTAGTGGGTTTTGACATAATGTATCAGAGCTTAAGGGACCTACTTTCTCTAATGGTCTTCCAAGAGTGGGGTCCCTTTGGTAATTTAGATAGGTGTGGTGTATGTAGATGGCAGATGATGTGGAATTCACTTTCTGTGGTTACTCCTGCAATGGAAGTGGTTGCCCTATCAGGTGGTGGGTGTTGCCATGTGCACTGTCGATTATGGCTCTGTTACTTGAAAAGTATTTCTGATACAGGATGTTCCAACTGAGGTGAAGGGCCTGAAGATTACCTGTTCAGACAATGGTGCAGTTTCTGACGTTTCATATGGAGAGGTAGGGACTGGGATCACAGCTCCTCCTCTGTGGCACTCACATCCAATCTTGTTAGCAATGTGTGATATGACAGGTATGATGACAGCCAATGCTGAGGACCCTCATAGATGCAGTGTCCATAGGAGTTGTTTTATTTCTATTGGTTATTTCTGTGATATGACTATCAAGGAGTGGGATGTCATAAGCCCCTAGCTGTGCCCCTTGGGGACTAGTCACCACCTGGAGACTTTTGTCCCCATTCTTTTAAGTTGAAACATCCACCAAGGTTTAACCAGGACTTGGTTGTATCTGGAACAAGGTACAATTCCACTCAGGTAGACTTCAGTGTAGCTAAGTGTCAGATCACCCAATGTATATGAATTCCCAGGCTTGATCCCCATCTCCACTAAATAAGTAAATACATAACTATATAAACCATATAAAAATAAGATAACAACAATAGCAGCAATCACCATAACAGAAAAGAAAGAGGAAAATATAGAATATTATAAAAAGATTCTTAAAAATTAAAATTAATAAAGAAGATAATAAAGTGAAAAGGGAAGATAAAAAATTAGAAAGAGTAGAATAAAATTTTTTAAAGGTCCAAAAATTTCTTCCCCTCTAAGATGCTCAAACAAAGGGAGGAGAGTGGATGATCACAACCTATGCCAATCAAAACTTTACTGTCTTCTTAGGCTGTGCACCCTATGTACTGAGTGAGGGAGGGGCTAGGGGTTTTTCTAACCCCAGTTCTTTCCATTGTGTTGCTTACCAGGTTATAGGCAGGTGTGATCTCTGGCTGACACTAGTTGGAATTCCTCTATTTCTTTGCATTCTGAAATATGCCAAGGTCAAATGCAAAGTCATCCAGGCAATCTGTAGCTTTTTGAACTGTGCACTCTGAAGGCAGGGAAAACACTCATTTGTTTTGTTCTCTAATGTTCAAGAAATAATTATGTGAACATTTAGTGCCTAACTAATTACTAAAACATATAATTCTGCCTTTATTTGGCATATGGAACATCTGGTCTTCAGGTTGTATAAGATTATAATTTCAAACACACATCTTTCAAATTCTTAATGCTAAGTGAATTTAGCCTATCCCCCCAAAAAAACAAATGTCGAATGTTTTCTTTGATATAAGGATGCTGACTCATAGTGAGAAAATATTTTGAAAAACAAATGAATTCAGAAAGCATATTTGTTCATTATTCATCAAACAATGATAAATGTTCTATTTGTTTCCAGAAAACTCTGTAATGAAATTGAGAACCAAATTATTTTCTGGATCTGTGAAATCTGATAGTTTGGATGGTATAGATAAGTCTTTGCTCACCCTCATCCTCAGAAATCCTATTGCTATCTGGGTATCTTGTGGTGAACCATTTATACCTCCAAATGGTAAGTGTTTTCATTTTCACTTTCTTTCAATTAACTATATGAAGGTGGAGAGAAGTAAATCTTATGTCATAACAAGAAAATGAATTAAATGTGTATAATGTCAACATAATAACATCACATTTATGCAAAGAACAGGAGGTCCATCAATTAATATGTGCACAAGGATAGTTATACTTACATATTTGCACAATTACCAGCTTTTTCTTACTGGAATGGAGTATTCTGTGTGGAAAAAATGTCTAATTTAGTTGATGAAGAGATCCTTGGTCTATAAGACGGAGAATAATGGTATACATTAGAAAATAACAAATGAGTTTAATTCGCACTGAGGACGACCTGTCTGCACATTTTCATTTTTAAGAATTGCACCCTTTAGGCAGTAGGTGAATGTTTAAAAAATGAATGGTTCCAAGCCAGGCTTTCATCACCTCCAAATAGTTTGTGGAAGTGGAAAATGAAATATGGCTATTGCATATGGTAAATCTGTATAATAAAACAGCACTGTTCTTCTTTTTTTCCATAAAGAAATGCCGTAAGCCCTGTCATCTTTCAAGTGAGGTTTCTTTTAATGACCCTTACCTTTTAATTACTTGTTTCTAATTGAATCTATTTCTTGAAACAGAAAGTTCTTTATAAATTATTAGTGTTCATGATAAATTACTGTTGATAAAAGACTGTAAGGTAAAATATCATGTATTTTTATTATTCTAGCATTGCAGAAAGCAGAAAAATTAGAGAAACAGAACTGGCTAAAAAAGGACAAAATTTTGGCTGATCTAGGTACCATGAAACACAAAATGAGGCAGTTAAAAGGTCAGTACGAACTAAACCAACATGATTGTGTTTAATTCTAAATGTAACCTCAATTTGCTGATAGTTATTTTCTACTATTAAATACCAAGAATTTAACATAAATATTTTGTTACACAGTCATTTGAGCAGAATCCAAAACCTAATAATACATTTTTATATTGATTTTATATTTGTAAATTTTATATTAACAGGAATACCATATAACATATACATACATTTAAAAAATTAGGAGAGTATCTGTGCCAGATAATCACCCTTTTGCTTTTGAAATGATTCCTAAATTAACATTTTATGGGCTTTGGAATTAGTTTTTGTTTAAACAAAACATTTCAGTGATTCCTTGGGTATTGTTTTATTTTTAATAATCAGAATAAGGAAGTACTAAAATCTTCAATGGTCATTGTCAATATCACAAGGACTCCTTTTTATACAACATAAGACATGCTATTTATGGTCAAAGTGATCAGTTGGCATAATTTGTCATCTTCCATTCTTTTTTTTTTTCATAGAATCTTGGGATCCTAGACTTATTCTATTTCTAGTACTTGAAATAGAAGTGGTTTTTTGGAAAGAAACAATGTTCTGGAGACTTTAGATGAGGAAGGTAGAATTTATTTCAAGCTTCATAATAGCAGAATTTTAACTCAAGTATCTTGCTTCAATAAGTAGCACAAATTACAGCACAAGACAGATTTCTGATTTGAAATGGCTACTGTCCATTTCTTACCAAAGCCATATTGATTGGCTATAAGTGAAAAATTTCTGTTACTACTCATAGCCTCTTCTGCTCCTACTTCTAGACATTTTAAAGTTCTATGGACATGTCCAAAACGAAATCTATTACATCCCTCCTATATCAGTGCATCTTTGTTTTCTCTAGCAACACATTCTACCACCATCTACCCAGTTATTATGTCACAGAAGCTGGGAAGTTATTCTTGGCATCTCCTTCTCCCTCATCTTTCCCAAGAAAATATTTAGCAAGCCTTCTTACTCTGAATCTGTTAAGTTGATCTCAAATGATTTTAACCCTTTTAGTCTACAATTATTATCCAAGTTCAAGCATGTAATATCCAGTCCTTAGATTACGGAGTTTTCAAACTGGTCTTCCTCCTTCTGATGACAGCAGTTACCTTTATATGAATAGGATGATGTTCTAGAGATGAAGGGATCATGCATAAATGCAAAGGAGTCATGGTTCTCCAGGTATAAAAACTTTCAAGGGTTCTATTATCTTTAGGATGTAGTTGAAGCTCCTTATATGGGTCTTCCTGATCTCATTTTCTGTGAGTTCCCACTCTCTCTGCTCACCATACTCCAAACATCTCAAATTTATTTTAGTGCCCCAGACAACACATGCTGTCTTCCTGAGGTTTGACACCCTCAGTTCCCTCTGCCTTGGTGTTTTCTTTCTTCTGAACTCTTGGATTGCTCCTACTCATTCTCATTCTCTATATATTTTAGATAACTCGTTACTTCTTCCTGGAATCCTCCTCCAACCTTCCAAGCCTGGGATCATGTGTTGATAACACTCTGAATTTCTCCTCTGATAGTTCTTATCGAATTATTTTAATTACCTATTCATTTAACTATCTTCCTTCTTGCCACAGTCCGGCTGCAGCAAACTAGCGGGGGGTGACGAATAACTTGTGTATGTTGATACAGCAGGAGTGGGAGCCGTTTATTGCAGGACAGGAGCAGTATTTATACATTCCACACAGCTTATCTAATTAGCATAAACTAGATACATCAGTCAACCAATAAGGAATCTCCACACTTAATGGCTGGCTTTTGTTACTTCTCAAACCACTCCCTCTGGCATTTTGCCAGGCACCATCCAGACTTGTTTATGAACTCTAACATTCCTCTGGCAAGATGCCAGGTGTTATTTTGACTTGTTTACAGACTCTAACACCTTCTATCAAATCATGAATTGTAGACCCATCTAATTTGTTATTTGAATAACTGTGGAATGATTGGCTTAACCGTGGTGACTTGCTACCATAATTCCAGGGATTCAGAAGGCTGAGACACGGTTGCAAGTTTGAGACCAGCCTCAGCAAATATTTGACCCCCCCCAATAACTTAGCATGTCCTTATCTCGAAATAAAAAATATAAAAATAAAAAGGACTGGGGATGTAGCTCAGTGGAAAGGTTCAAAATCCAGTACCAAAAATAAATAAATGAATGAATAAATAAAAGTAATTTCAACCATTTATTCTAGGCTCTAGGGAGTGATTCAAACTTTATTCTTAAATCAAGTTAAATCAATAGAAAGCAGCATACTGAAAAGTGCCCCTTGCAGAGCTGCCTGACTGAATTCTGATTTGATGCCACATCTTTAGCTTTTATTACAATTAAATATCAAAAAGGCATTTAAAGTAAACTTGGAGTCATCTACAATATTATTGTTGAATACAGTCTTTATTTGGTCAGTTGATTTCCATTATGGAGTGATCCATCGATGTAGTTTCTCTTCTAATTTAATGCTAAGATAAATCTTGCATCTACTTACAAACTTGTATATTTTCCGCTATTAAATATAAACTCAAAACATGTTCATAAAATACTCTGAATAAGGCCCTTTTCTAACTGTTAAGATTATGAGAATTAAAAAAAAAACCCCACAAATCTTATCTCTGGTAACTGCATTCCTATTAGATGGTGTGTCTCTAGAGGGTTGAATTAAAGGGGAAGTATGATAAGTATGAATAGTTGCTGAATTGACTACTTCTTCTTATTATTATAGCTGTTAGTAAATGCAACAAATACCATGTGCAAAAAACTGTGGTAAGTTGATTTTACATTGCATTTTTAAGCGTGATCATTGCCATTATCATTTATAGTATGAGTGATTACTTTATAGGGCTTTTATGATTAGAAAATGTCAAATATTTACTACATGGTTACAGCAAATAATCAATATTGGGATAAGGTTCCTGAGAAGACAGTATATTTTTCCACTTGATGTTTTAAAACTAGTAAATGAAACTCAGAAATACAAATCAGGCCTAGGTATCACCTTTGTTATACATACAGACAGTGTTGGAACATTTCTTTTGATGTGTGAACTGAAACCCCAAATCGGGTAGACTTGTCTTTTCCAGGCAAAAAATGATACTGAACCAGGGGTGGACCTTCCAGTAAGGGAGGGGATGAGGGGACTGGCTTAAGCAGTTAGGCTTAGAGTATGACAGAACATCAAAACACTTATGTTTTCAAGTTTCCAAGAGAAAAGAGGGGAAAAATGGTCAAGAATTGTCAACTTATTTTTACCAATTTCCAACTAGAGAAATCATCTGCATTATCAATGGTGTTCCATCCACTTGAAATGAAACTTTTAGAAGAGGGCTAATAATTAGCTATTATCATAACTGACCCCTGATCTCATGTGAAATAAATAGGGTGTTTGGAAAATTTAATAAGAAAATAAAAATAGTTTATTCAATATATTTTTGCCTTTCTTTGATATATGTTATTCTTACCTACATAAATAATAGTTTATTATAAAAACCTTTCCCCCAGTTAAAACCTTTTGTGGTGACATTATATCTCTTTATGAAAATTGTATTGCAAATGCATGCATTTTCTTAAGACCATTAGAAGCAAGTTGACAAATAATAAATAATGCATAATATTTTTTTCTGTTTCCTATGTTCAATCCCTGACTCCTAACAGTGTAATGATAAGCTATTGTTGAACTCCTGGTTTAAAAAATTGTAACGTTTGAAATACATTTTAAATAATATATTTGTTGGAATATTATTCATAAAAATTAAATGTCATAAATTAATGTTATCTCTGTTCTATAAATAAAGTTGACTAAAAACTATAGTTAGTATAAATTTGTATTGAGCAACTACTCTGGTTCTTTTCAAAACACATTACCTAGTGCATTGTCACTGTAACTCATTGGCTAATTGATTCAATCATGCTTTCTTCACATTCATAAATTACATATGAATGCATATTAGACACATAAGATTCTGGTTTATTTGAAAAATCATTGCTGCTACTTATTTTTATTTCTGAATATAGTACCATAAACTTAAGCTGTAAGTACAGATTCTTTATACTCTGCAAATGCAAATGATTTTTAAAGGATTTTGTCATAGTCTAAAAATCTGCCCATTAAGAGTAACTTGGGCATGATTCGGTGGCATATCCCTGTAATCCCAGCAGCTCGAGAGGCTGAGGCAGGAGGATCGCAAGTTCAAAGCCAGCCTCAGCAACAGCAATGTGCTAAGCAACTCAGTGAGACCTTGTCTCTAAATAAAATACAAAATAAGGCTGGGGATGTGGCTCAGTGGTTGAATGCCTCTGAGTTCAATCCGTGGTACCCTCCTCCCGAAAAAATAATTTGGCAAAAAAAATTGAGATGCAGCTTCATCTTATCAACATAATTGTTGCTTTCTCAAAGAAGCTTTCTCTGATATCTCAGACTAGGTCAGCAGCTGCTGTTACATGCTCTCTTAGTCCCTGGTACAGCACTATTGTAATGGATTTTTGGTTTAATCATTTCCTTGGATCTGCCTTCCCTACCAAACTTGAGGCATGGGCTCACTCTCAAACCTGTCTGCATTTGCATCATATTGCACAATGCCTGACCCCTAGCTGGTGCTCAATGTAGACTTCTGGAAGGAGTGTACAAAATAAAACATTAACCAGATCCACCCACACCAGCCTGTGTGGGACCAAAGCTCACAGAAGGCCCAGGTCCACCCCTTTACCAGCGGGGCAGAGACCCACCAGAGCCCAGCCTCTGGCACATGACCGCCTCTTTTGACCAACAGACTATCATGGGAGCCCAGACCTGGCCTGGATCCACCCACACCAACTTGTGCAGGACCCAGGTCCAGGGTAGGTTCGAGTTTGCCTCCTCACACCTGAGAGCCTAAGCCTAACCCACTTCCATCTTGGGACACTGCAGTCATTGCCATAGCCTTCTCCAAGCAGTAGTCCATAACTTTTTGACAGTAGACAGGACCTAGAAGCAGCT